GGGCTAACTGACAATCGTGTTGTGTTCTTGGCTTAAAATGACTAATTGATTTATCTGGATTGTTGATTGACAGGGTTAATATTGCTCATAAGAATCTGTCGAGTTCTTACTCGCCTATTCAAGTTAACTCAATGCCTATATGTCTATGGAATTAAGATTAACAAGAATGCATTTACAATTCCTGTATTTCAACCAAGCAAGGCAATTGGGTATATGTCTATCCCAATTGCTAATCTGTTCCCCGATGCCCGAGTTCAAGAACTTGCTCTATTTAATTCTATATGCAATCTAAAGTTCCCACTTTCGAGTTCAACTAAAGATTCGTAGATAGTATTTCACTGTTAGCTACTCAGCAAAATAATTAAAAGCAGAATTAAATAAACAACCCAATATGATAAACCAACTTTGTCGAATTAAACTTCAAACAACAACATTCATGTTTCACCCATGACCCTAGAACAATGGGTTTTAGCCACTCATACTAGTGTTCATCACAATAAAGTTCCAATTTCATCACAAATAGCAAAAACAAAGGGAAGAAAAGAAGAACTTGATGGTCAAATCTCCTCCTTGCCTCTTGCCTCTCTTTATCTCTTGCACTAGACTATGAAAACCTTGATATCTTACTCCTTGGGCGAGCTTGACTTTATATAGGTTAAGTGAAAATTCCTCTAGATTTCCGATTTTGCCCCTAACAGACCCTTTCCGGAACTGGGACTAGCGCGAACGCGCTAATGTTCGCGCTAATTCCCTGACATTCTGCCTCCCGCTTCTGGACTAGCGCGAACGCGCTAGGCTTCGCGCTAGTTCAGGCCATTTTTTCTTCACTTCGTTGTCTCGTCTTTGCGCGCACTCAGCTCCGAGGGGTCTTTCTTTCTCCAATGCAAATCCAATCACAACTTTAAGGCATCATATAGGCTCACCATCCTGCAATGTGTAAAATTCACAATTAGAGCCCATTTTTCATCATTTAACCATATTATGACATTGAAACATAAGCAAGCGGGAGCATAAACAATCGCTAAATCACCTAGACTTAGCCTATTATCAACAATCGAAAAAATAATATATTTATATAAAAATGCAATATATTTGAGTGTACTTGTATAGAATAAAATGTATGTGTATCATTGTATGTGACTAAATAGCAAAGAAGAGAAGAAAGTTCGCCAAAGATGGCGTTTTCCGGCCAAGCAAAGTACTGTATACATTGTAACCGGCCCTCAAATCTTCTATGGCGTAGCCATGGCCAGATATGTTCGCCTAAGAGGATGAGCCAATAGTGGATGATGACGCCGACGATTGTGATGACGATCACGATGAAGACACCGACGATTCTGCTGATTTGAGGGAGAACAGAGAGAATTGAGTGATAGAGAGAGAAGGAAGAGAGAGAGAGAGAGAGAGAGAGAGAGAGAGAGAGAGAGAGAGAGAGAGAGAGAGAGAGAGAGAACATAATTGACGTATTTCATGCCTCAATGGTAGGTATAAAATAAATACTTATTTTGCTATAAAATAGAAAAGATAGCTATAAATAATAATATTATGAAACTATTTTGATTTATAATAAATATGGTGTAATAGTTTGCTATAGGAGGTAAAATAAAATAATAATAATAATAATAATAATAATAATAATAATACTTTTATCTGTTTCTCAAATTGAATAATTAATAATATGCCTTTTTATAGTAGTAATTCAGGGGAGTCGGGACCATATTATCTATCGTTTTAAATAAAATGTACACTTTCCGTCATTAAATATCTTAATTATAAAATTATTTGTCTAGACTACTTTTATCTTTTTTTAAATATTTCATTTTATAAAAACTCCCATAAGAGTAAATATGCAAGTAAGAAAATAAAAATGACTTCTTGATCTTTTAAAATTTCAAATATTTTTAAACAAACTCAACTAGCCAAAGCGATTAATATTCAGAGTAGAAGAGAGAGTCTTTTTTGATCGATATTATTCTCTTATGTTTTCTTTGCTTTTTTTTTTTTTTTTCCTGGTTGTTGCTATTATCTCACTTTCCAAAGTTCTTTGTTATAGCTACTGTGATTTTGCGATATTGAGGCGAGGATCTTCCGGAAACAGCTTCTCTATCTTCACAAAATAAAAATAAAGTGTGTGACATATTATCCTTCCGAGACCCCGCTTATGAAAATATATTGGCTATATTATTGTTGTTACAGTAGAAGAGAGTGTCATTTATTTTCCATTCCATGTGGATTACTAAGTGTCTCCTTTCAAAATATGAAAAGATTATACTTGTTATACGCATTGCTCTTTGTATTAGTAGAAAATAAATATGACACGTAGAATTATGTGTGGCTGCTAAGGCATGATACGTGAATCACTAAGAAGGTGACAACTGGAATATTGCATTAGAAGATGCACGAGATACAAGAGGTACGAGCAAATCACTCACGAGATGAAGGGATGCAGTTGCTCGAGTCTAAATCATTTAGTAAATATGGGCTGAATGAATCAAGACAATAGGAAGGGTGAAGATTCAAGAACCTCTAATTAATGAGGAAGAAGAATTGGAACCGTTACAGAATCTCCATAAACAGTTACGATTGCCAATTATAACGGTTCATTAATGTCATTAATGTTCATAATGATTCGGTCATAAAAGGTAGAAAACGATATGTTTGTAAATTCCTATATAAGGGAAGAGAATTTCACTTGTAAGGACATCTGAGACAATATTGGAATATATTTTTTCTATTTTTCTCTATATTTACTTTGCAATCAGTTATTTCCTTACTTATTCTTGTTCTTTTCCTTTCATATAATTGAGAAAGTATAAAATTTCTTGGTTATCAGTAACCCGAGTTCTTCTAAAGATAGGCTTTGACCGAAAGATACATTTTTTGGTTAAACACTCTTAACGTCGAAA